TCATGCGGAGTGTCACCATTCAATGCAGCAGAGGGAGTCAGGTTAATCAAATAACTAGCCTCACCCCAAAATGACTTGGGAACACCAGAACTTAATATCATGCAACGTACTTTATCAAGTATGGTCCTATTCATCCTTTCTGCTACTCCATTTTGCTGAAGAGTGTAAGGAACGGTCTTATGTCTAGTTATACCGCTTTCTTTACACATACTATCAAATTCCATATTGCAGAATTCTAGGTCGTTATCTGTCCTTAAGAATTTGATTTTCCACTTGTCTCTTCCAGTTATTAAAACTATTAAAAGTCTCAGATTTATCTTTCAATAGATAGACCCACACTTTCCTAGTATAGTCATCGATAATAGACAGGTAATACCTATTCCCACCCAATGTGTGCCTTTAGCTCTATTAACACTCGTGGAGAACGAAGTTTTATGATGTAAGCACACAATGATCACAGAATGACAAATATGACACAGTCATTACCAAACGCACCTTTTTCATTAAGTAACTTAAGTCCCTTGATGCTCACGCGAGCAAGTTTATTATGCCATGTGTGTGTGTGATCAATTTTGGCAGAAGAGATAGAGGAGTTCAAACCTCTAATCACTTTTCCAGTAGTAATATAGATATCGTTTTTCTTAGTTCCCTTAATGGAAACTAAAGCACCCTTGATCAATTTTAGCATACCATTTTCAATTTTACCAGTGAAGTCATCATTTTCAACTCTTCCTACTGAAATCAGATTCCTAGACAATTCAGGAATATACCTAACATCCTTTAACGTGTACACAAAACCTGTGTCAAATTTTACGTTTATATCACCAATTTCAGCAATAGTAGAGGCAAAGTTATCACATAGCACAACATGCCCAACATTTGATTCATGCAATTTATAAAACCAATTCTTTTCAGACGTCACATGAAAAGATGCACCAGAGTCAAATATCCAATCATGCATGCGGGAATTAGCAGTTAGATTTAATTCAGTAGTGTATGCAACGGGACTTGTAATCATATAGACCTCACCAGCATCTATATCGGAAGTAGATGCTAACACATTTACCTCATCTCTCTCCTTAACCTTTAGCTGACCCTTCTCCTTATGACAATCCTTTATAAAATGCCCCGTGTTTCCACAACCATAGCATTTTCTTGTCTTAGTCCTAGATTTTGATCTAGACCTACCTTTGTTCTTCTTTTTCCATCTATCACCACTTGACTCGCCACTAATTTGATATCCATCATGACTATTTTGCCTAAATTGAGTTCTACCTCACCGTTCCTCTTATCATGTTTTTCAGTCCTAATTTTCATTTCTTTACTTTTAAGGGAGTCTATGACAATTTCAGGTGTCAAGGTATCTCTGTCATACTTAATGACGTTCTTAACTTCCTTATAGGAATCAGGAATAGCATTGAGCAAAATTATAGCCTTATAAGATTCGGACACAGCCTCATCACAATTAACTATATCTTGCACCAATTTATTAAACATGTCTAAATTGTCATCGAGATCCTTTGAAGGATCCATTTTAAAACTGAAGAAACGTTCAAACAAGTAAAGTTTATTCGGTGTAGACTTAAACAAATATAAGTTTTCCAATTTTTTCCAAAGTTCTTTAGTGGTTTTCAGTTTACCCACCTTTCTTAAAACGACATCAGACAAGTGTAAAATGATTGAGGTATAAACAAGCTCATTGGCTTCTTCTCTCTGTTCTTGTGAAAAATCAGTTGAAAAATTGCTTTCAATGACCTTTGAAACTTTTTGTTGGACTAAAACGACCTTCATTTTTTGTTGCCAAATAGCAAAATCACCCTTTCCATTAAAAATCCCCAAATCAAAGTTGTGAGTTGTCATCTTTACACAATAGTTAAAGAGTGCACAAAAAACACAATCAAACCACACAAAGTAGTCTTAGGGTTTCAGATAATATACGTCATTCAAGATTCCCAGGGTTTCGTAAGACTTGGGGTCTTAGATCAAGGGAATGTTTGAAAACGGGTGAGGTCACGGTAATTCTAATGGAATGGATAAGCAGTGGAAATAACAATACAACAGAAAATTACATCTAATAGATAATTAGTTTCACGACAGTTATATCACTGAGGCTCAAATACTGATTTAACTAAAAGAAAAATACTCAATCAAATAATCAAGAACACGTAACCCTAATTTCTAGCACAAACAATGATTTCCAAGCTATGACAACCCCCAAACCTAATGATCACCCCACACGATGATCTGCTATTGCAAAAATATTAAGGTTTCAGTCAATTTACCATAGCGGACCTATCTGAGTCCGTAACGTGGAGAGATGCGAATTTATTGCTTTAGGGCCACCACTATTCACCCTAAAGGTTCAATAAATATAACAGTTCGTTCAGTAACAAATGCAAATTGTAATGAGGGGTAAAATCGTCCAAAATTTTCTGCACAATCTAAAATAATTGAAATGGCACGAAAAAACCACGCAGGAGCTCCTCCACGCGCCGCCACCGCCACGCGCCTCACCACCGGAGGCGCCTCGACCTGCTGAGTTCGAATCTGTCCTCTGTTTCTTCTACAGGTCAGCTGTTTGTCCGGAAAAAGCAGCTGCAGGTTCGGCCCCTTTTACAAAAATCGCGAACCCACCCCCTTCTTGGTCAATTTCTTGCTGGAGAAGATGACCTACGCTCTGATACTAGTTGTGTGGTGAAATTCCAGCAATAATCAAGGTGATACCGAGTTCAGTTTTCACCAAATATCGACACAACCACAATTGAAACAACACCCAACTTTCACTTTCTTTCTTCCCACCTAAGGTTGCTATTTATACTCACAAAGAGTCAGCCAAGATGAAGAACAATATAGCCCAAGAGAAAACCACACAGACTATTTGAAAGAAAGAGGCCGAGAATCAAGATCACAGAAAGAGATGGAGAGTTCTTCATTGTGGAGGCGTGGAAGGAGCCGTAAGTTATAGACTAGTGAGTGGCCAAAAATGGTAAGTTAGGTTAGGTTAACTTAGTGGTCCAAATAAGGCTCAACACAAAGATAATTGGCTCCAAATGAATAACATAGTCCTCCAAGTAAATGGGACGGACCACGAGCAACACTAGTAAAATAGGTTGCTTCTAACGGTCCATAGAAAATTGGGTTGGATTGTCTCGATGATAGTGTCGACATATAATTCAATCATATGGTCAAGGCCGACTGATAATAAATAAAATCGAGGTTACATCATTGCCTGGGAGGTCGTTTGACAACAAATTGCCTAACAAAAGGGGTTAATAATGCATGTCTGTTGTTGTAAATAAGGGGCATAAGCAACATAGTAATGAACATATATACTATGTAACAGATCATATTCCTTGTATGGCATCCAAAAGTACAACGTATTGCTTGTGGGCTAGCACATAAAGAATTGAAGGCTTACAATGCATTTTCTTAGGGATGTGTGAGGATAATATTTAAAATCTTATATGTAATTTCAGGTCTCTGTCCTTCCTCCACTAGCTTCAGTTTTCGTTACAACCATTGCATCACAATTTGCAGACAACTTAATTTCCAAAGGGGTTGATACCACCATGGTAAGTTGAAGAGAGATGCTCATGAATATATTCTTCTTCTTCTTCTTCTTCTTATTGTTATTGTTATTGTTATTGTTATTTTGGTTTTGTATCGGCTAATTTGATATTGATATGAAGCCTCGCTCTTCTTGAACATATTATTTCTAGGAGCATGTTAGATTCTTTAGATATATGAACCTTTTACATTAGTTATATTCTTCTTTGACTTTGCATATTGGTTTTAAAGTGTCATTGTTTGTTTTTTTACACCTGGCTTGATTTGTAGAGACTTATAAAAGAAGTACACTTAGAAAGGAAAATATTTGAAGCATTTAACTCTAAATGAGATTTGGTTTTATTTTTCTTCCTATGTGTTGTATGTGGCATGACCTAGTCTACGAGGACGGGGTTTAATAGATTAAACGAATAATCTGTATTTCCGAGAGCAATTTATAACGTGATACAGGATAAATGAAAGCAAGAAAACAAACAAGTGGTTCACTCTCAATGTAAGTTGCTGCTACAGAGTTGCACTATATAGAAGAAGAGAAGTACAATGTATTTGTTGACTCACACCTCTCTGTTTTCTCTATACCATGACGCACAGAAATGAGGGCTTTTACACCTTGCATATGAGAGGAAAATATTATGGTAACCTAATACACGTGCCAATTTCCCAAAGCGCCCCTACAACACTTTTTGAAGTTTTTCTGAGAAGAGAAGTATATAGGATATTAGGCGCTATGCATTAAACAAGGGATCAAGACCATGAACAAATAGGCTGGAACAGGTAGGCCTGACCTCAAACTCAATCGGCTCAACCTTGGACATAGCTTCTAGTTTCATGCAACAAAGACAACGGTGGTGGCTGCATTGCCCTTGGATGCTTGTGTCAGCCTGGGGAGAGAGAGTTTCGTGATGTTTGATGAATTCATTCTACATGTTATATGACTCCTCTTGATGAATCTGAATCAATTTGGATGTAATCTAATAGAGAACCACTCCTAGTAGAACCAGAAGTGCTATTGTAGTAAGTAGATGAGTCATAGTTGGAATGTCCCACAGTTACTTGATAATTAGTAGAAATATAGCAGTGAAATAGTATTGTAGTACTAGAGATTCTGAAATCCGGATTATCAGTCTTGTGAAAATGAGACGTAGAGCCTACCCAAGGTGGTCTGTTTGGTTCACAAGGCCCAAGGTGCTTGTCTTCAGGTGGAAAATGTGTAGTAATCTGGATGCTTTGATAAGTTGAGGTGGGTCTGACAGATTTTTACCTCATCATTATGTATATGACGTGGCACTCATGTTATGTTCTTCAATTGTTTGGTTCTTTCTGACCAAGTTTGAGGTTTCATTTATTATGATTTTCTCTTGTTGATTTTCATGGTCTTCATTTGAAGAAAAACTTACACCCATCTTTGATTATTGAATTATCATTTATACTCAGTAGAGTGTTTGCATGGGAAAAAAGAGATTGAGCGTGCAAAATTAAAGATGTTTATTTTGCAAAATGGAATATTTAATCACTTTCTGTTTATGTTTTGAAATTGAACAACGAAATCAATTTACAGAACAGAATTCAAAAATTGAAGAATAAAGTCAATTTACGATTTTCATGGACCTTTAGAATCAGTGCTTCTTGTTGTAACAGGTGAGGAAAATTTGCCAGACAATTGCTTTTTTGTCTCCTGCAACTTGCATGATTCTTTCCTCTTTGGACTTGGGACTAGATCCATGGGAAATTGTAACAATTCTCACTGGCGGTTTAGCACTCTCAAGTTTTGCCTTATCAGGTACTGAATAGAATAGCATTTCATGCTTACATTGAATGAAATTATTCAGATTTAATCTATCTGCTTGAGAGTGTTAATCTAAGAATTTCTCGGTTGCAGGACTATATTGTACACATCAAGACATTTCACCTGAATACGCAAGCATTCTTTTGGTATGTAAGAGAACTGAGTAGTTACTGTGTTTTCTATGACTACCAGATATAGAACTTTTCATGTTCAATTGAAAGTGAGGCGATAAATTTGATCTGTTCATCCAGGGCATTACGAACACCGTTGGAGCTATACCTGGAATTGTGGGTGTTGCTCTCACTGGCTACCTTCTCGACTCAACTCATTCATGGGGTGTAAGTTACCATTCTTTACTCCACATTAAAGATCCTATACTAATAGAGGAATAGTAAGCAACCTCAGAGTTAACTATTTTTATGTCATGTAGATGTCACTGTTTGCACCATCGATATTCTTCTATCTTACTGGTACTATCGTATGGTTGGCACTTGCGAGCAGCAAGCCACAAACCTTCTCAAATAGCGATTGATGTTCTTATCAGCCATGAATCAACAGAATCTGTTCAGAAGTACTAATGACCTGAACAATAATTTTGAGGAATAACTTTCCTTGTAAGCTGCCTAGGACTTCTTTTTATCCTGTCTGTATATAAAATCATAGGCTTTTGGCATTTAGCAAAATCTATTCTAAATTACACCATATATGATTCTTGTAATTTTATATTGCTTCTGCAATATCATATTTGTTTCAGAAATTGAAGAATCAAGAAATCTGTATTAAAGTGAAAAATAGTAGTTGAATTTTTATTTTTTTTTTGAATTTTTATTTATTTATTTATTTATTTTAAGAAAGAAAAGGTGTGTTGTTATTTGTGATTCTCTAAGGTCATTTTTCGACCTTCCAAGGAGTGCATTTTATCGAGGGAAAATTAATAAAGAAATCCAAAGTATTTACTTCTTTCCTCGACTATAATGACAAGAAAAAATTTGATGGATTTTCAATATCTAGCTTTTCCATGCACGCAGGAAGTATAACATTTGACATGTGAACAGATAGAATAGAGTGAGGAACTACAGTTACAGGCTTTGAAAGGGCACAAAATGGGCGTCAAATTCAGTATAGCTCCATATGAGCCTGGTTAATGCCTTCCATTGAGCAGCACCATCTGGCTCTTCCATCCTTCAGTGTCAAGTGATATTCTTCTCTATGGATACAGAGCCTATTTTCGTGCACAGAGGTACCGTTGAAGTCTTACCTTAGCCTAGACGGTGCTATGACTGTCCAGATTGATGAGAATTAATACCTTGCTGCAAGAATGCGATACAAATTCATTCTCCATATAAACACGAAATAATGTATGTAGTTTAGTTTAAGTTTGGTTGAACTTACAAATTGTTTGGCTCAATGTGCATAAGCATGAATCACGTGTGAAGTTGTGTAGTCTAATTATTATCATCATACGGATTGTGTACGCAGATCAGTATCCGCCGTTGGATTTTTGTGGGGTTGAAAGAGAAGCAGCAGTCACCTTCACGGGGGTGCTGGGTGGGCAGAAACTTCGGACCAAAATTTCATTAAGGATAATTTTGAATTTTCACACTATTAATTTTGGTTTGCCTTAATTTGTTTTATAAATAGAGAGTCGTCATTAGGACTTTGAATAGTCATCAAAATGGAGATAGATGGGTTAGAGAAGATAAGGTGTGAAATTTTCTTTTGTAAACTTCTTTTTATTATAGTAAATTACTATATTGATAGGTTATTGGGTTTGGAGTCTTTGGACTTTGGAATGGATTCAATGGAAATTATGCAATGGCCAAATGGGTTTACGTTCTAGAGGAAGTTTCACCCATCACTACATTTTAAATTAATATTCAATTTTTACTTTTCAATTTGATAAATTCCAGAATTACTGGAATAAGTATAGTATTTTTGGTTAAAATTAAATTACTTCACTCTATTAGACAGGTCATTATTTCACCGTTGATTACTCTTCATTCCCGCACTATTCATAATTTCCCCAAATTGCTGCCCTAATTTCATCTCTATAGTTACGAGCCTAAAGTCAATTCAGCAAACCATTTGTAATCATTAAGATTATCCTCAAATCAAGAGATCACGGGTGATTCCGTTCCAATTTTCGAAGGCTGTAGATCTTGATTTTTATTGCTTCAACATCGTCACTCACTTTCGATTCAAGATTTTCGTTGGTGATTTTGTATGTATGTTCTTCAAGGTACTACAACCCGTTGATTTCCTACCCAAATTTGAAGCCTAAAGATTATGATCATCCCTTTATTTCTTTATCATAATTCAGACTCATAATCATTCAAGATTTTTTCTGACGATTCTGTAAGTATGTTCTTCAAATACTCCATCCAGCCATCCAGGTGACTCCCTACGCAGATTTGAAGCCTGAAGATCATTCCTCCCTTCTTTACCACGATCAGTGGAAACCAGCCGTGGGCTAATTACAAAATTTGGATCAAAAGTTGATCAATTTAAATTGGGCTAAAGTGGTTTAGATAGTGGGCTAAATATAAATTGGGCCTAGATATAGTTTTTTTCCCAAAAAATCTTAACACAAAAAGGGCATTTGGTCAGCCCAGTACAGCTACCCCCCAAATCTGCCCCTAGTTAGAGAAGATAAGGTGTGAAATTTTCTTTTGTAAACTTCTTTTTATTATAGTAAATTACTATATCAGCGGATGAAAACGTAGTTTTACATTAAGTCAAATCTCCATAGACTTTGCATGCTCTTGTGTTTATTTTCGTTCTGAGATTTTATTGTTCTCGGTAATATAGAATTATGGTTTCTAATTGTCAACTGATATTCATCCTTGTAAAGTTTGTTGACAGATCAAAAGAACATTCCATCCCATTAATCGATGCCAAAGAAGAGCATTACAAAAAGTCAAAGACAGCAGATTATTTAGTGAAATATGATATATTGTACTGTTAAGTCATTTCGAGTACTACTAATTCAACTACATCCGTATTTGAAACAGAAGTTGTGTTAAGTAAACCGTAGTAACTACCACTCAATGTTCATCTGCAGTATGTTTTTGCATCATCAACTGATGCCATCCCAAGTTGATCCAAGTTTCATATATTCCAAACATAATCCATTTAATAGCTACAAGCAAATAAACAATTAAGAAAACGTTTTTGCTGCTAACATTACCACAAACTATAGACAAATGTATTGAGACATGGTTATCGCCAATGTTACAGGCTCCTCCCGACTTACCGATTACCGGTGTTTCCGCATACCAAAGGGTGTTCTTGAGTTGAAAGAATAAATTGGCTCCACTAGCAAGATAAGAAGGATTAACCATCTTTTAGTAATATGCTCGTCTACTCCAACCGAAGAAGAAAAACAGATTGCATTTTCATGTCCAATCTTAAAATAGAGATTTTTTTTAATTATTATTATTATTATTATTATTATTATTATTATTATTATTATTATTATTTTACTCAAATCAATTCATTTAAGTATGTTAGCAAGTACCTGTACCAAGATTATATATGATAAGTGAACCCTCTGTTGTAGATATGAAGTCTCTGAACCAATCCGGGTTGAAGAATCCCCCTGGTGCTAAGTTTAGTGGTTTAGGAAGTAGTCCCCCGTAGGAGTAGTTCATTACATCGTGAAAAGCCCGTTCATCATAGGAATAGTCGTCTGCTAAAGATCGTACACCCGACTCCAGTTCCACATAGTTCATTCCCTGGTAAGAAATTGAGTTATCAGATTGTGCCATTAACGTCCGGACTTACTCTTAACAAATTGGGGTCGATTACATGAATCATTTTATGGTATTCCACTTCGTTAATTTCTATGTACAGTAGAAATGTCAAATAAATTAAGCAGCTTCTGAATTGGAACTGGATAAAAATAATGAACTAGCAAACACCAAAGAACTGAATTAAACTAATAAAACAAATAAAACAAGGATTATCATTCAATTCTTTCTTCTGTGTTTTCAGTGATTTCTTTTTTAATTATGCCCCCAAGTTATTGAGTTTGAATACTTTTCTTGATTAATTTAAAACACACAAGCACATAGAGACACACAGGTGGTGAAGGTGGATTTTGTAAATGCATGGAGGAAAGCTTACCAAATTTAGCAGAGAAGATTTGCCCCAGCTACAAGTCCCATTATCATAATCAGATTTCTCCGGCGGCCATCAGTCCAAGGTGGCGCAAATGGAAGCACGAAAATGAAAATAAGTTATCTTTTCCTCCGGAATCAGAATTCCCCCAAAACCTCTCACATAGGGTGGTAATTTGATCCGAAAAATTCAAGCCCGTGGTGCCTCGTCTCAATTATTTAGCTATTCAAAAAAGTTCAAATTTTTTTGTAAAAACACCTTCATCCAAATTTCTTAGAGAAAAGCCATACGGTCAGAATTGGAGACAGGAGGAAAAACAGGACGCACCCTATTGACCTCTCTTCACCTAGTCTTTTTGTCATCCCACTCTACAATCCCATTAGGACAAAGCTAGAAATCTAAATTAGGTTGAATTAATTTTATTTTATTTTTAAAATTGAGCTAGTATATTTGAGATAATTGTAATTTTTTGGGCTTGTAGTGCACTAATCTTTAGCCAACGGCGCCCCCTGGATCCACATTTTACCCCACCCTCGTAATCCACCAACGATGCCATCGCAAGTGCGGCCAACCCCAAAACCTACAGCCCCCGCTTCCCCCCACCACTGACTCAATCCAATCATTTGAATTTAATTTAATTTTAGTCATTGGTAGAGCTATTTTGAGAAGTTATCATTTTTATTGTTCTTTTTCTTCAGTTTATTAGTATTTGTCCCGTGGAACTGTGGATAGTAAATCATCTTTGAACAAAAATATGGCCCTTTTAACTTTTACACTCTTGTTCTCCTATCCACAGTGAGAAGTTTCATCTTACCCACTTTAGAGAGAACCTTACTTATGGTTCTAACATTTGCATAAAAGCTTATTTAAGGTTTTCGTGCCACATGAATAAGTGGATAGTCTTGTTCTATCCACAGTGGGCAAGAGAACAATTTCATTAGAACTTAATGTTACTTTGATTTAATTATTTAAAGCAACACTTGATTAGGAAAAAAAAATGGCCCTTGTTAGATGGGAATTAAAATCAGTTTTTTTTTTTTTTTTTTAGTGAATTTTGATAAAAATTGATGTAATTTCGAGTTGAAAAGTTAAGAATCCCATGAAATATATGGATAAAATTAATTATTGATTTTAATTTAGATAAAATCTAGGAACCAAACAAAGGTATAATTTGGAGGAATATTATTATCTTATTTACTAATTTTTCCTCCAGAGCATGTTGGAAAATCTTAAAATTACATTTCTAAAAAATTAATCTTATTAATAAAAATGTAAAATTTACAATTATTTCAGATCTAAAAGAAAAGTAAATTTTCTTTCTATTTAAGCCTAGCCAACCATCCTAAAATTTGATTTCTCATGTTCTAGTTGAGAACTTTACGAAAATATCATTAAGTGATTCTTCCAGCCTTCTCAATTGCTTTTCAGATCTGATATTCCAATTCCAATCAGTTGTGACCTGTGGGTTAATTTTGCCATAGAAAGTGGGTAATAGCAAATTGACATGCTTCTTTTTATTAATCATGTTATTGTTTTCTCCTTAATCACATTAATGTAACCTGTCAAATATAATATTAATAGATAACATATTAAACTTTTATTCTCCTTAAAGATCAAAATATATTCATGGACTTTGCAGCTGTATGCATGAAAGCTGCAAAATTTACTTTCTTATTAATCCATTGATAGAACAATAATAAAATCACAATCACTGATATTTTGTGTCTCTAGTATTGAGAATTTTTATGCCAAAACACTCAAAAAAATTTCATTCAATTTCAACTGATTGCTGGTGGCGTTGGGGCCGTAATGCAGTTATTCAGAGCGACAGGCAATTGAATCTGAGATAAAGGGAACCCTATTGGCAAGCAAGTTTTAGCCATTTGATCGAAAAGTTGACAGCACGAAGTGCTAAGGGGAAGTCCGAACGCTAATTTAAAAATATCCATTAGGCAAGTATTTTCAAGACCTTTTAGAGCTTCCAAGCACTGCGAAAACTCGTCAACCATCGCTGGCTTTGATACTTCATAAGCAACATGCGAGAAATTTGGAATTGATTCGGCCATGGAGGATATCGCGATGCATGCCAACAGAAACAATGCGAAAGCCCTTTTCAAAGATGATGATTTATATGCCATAGTATGAATATATTCGTAAATTTGTGAACTTTCTAAAAGGTCTACTGGAAGAATTTATGTGAAGTGGAATTGTTGGCAGATACTACTAAACTTTGGCTATTTATATCTGAGAGCATATATATTAATTAAACCAGTTAATTGTTTAACATAAAGTGCATTTCACTTCTACTTTATTTTGCAAGTAAATGCTACTATGTTATGATCATTTATTAGCAGTATTAAGCTAGAAATGAGAAATAATTAATGCTACTGTTACATTCTTGATTTTGTTTGTTTACAAATTTATTGTGAACTGTCGTTTCAAACTTTATGAATGACATCGTAACTGAAATAATTTTATCATAATATTTAGGAGTGGACATTTTTTCCCAGGACCGGTGAAATCGGATTGGAGCAGTTTAAAACCGGTTGGTTCGGTTCCGGATCTTCTAAGAAACCATTTGATTTTGGGACAATTATTAAGAACCAATCAGTTCCTGTTTGGTTCCTAGTTCTAGTATGGGAATCGTCGGGAACCGGATGGTTCTCATTAAATTTTTTTTTTTGCTTTTTTTTTGGTAAAATATATGAATCAATCTTCAATCACTTTTATCAAAAATAATTGAATTCCTTCTTCATTTTAGATTTCAACATTTTCCTTCTTCTCTGACCCTTTCATTCTCTCTTCTTATGATTCTTTGATCAAATGATTTTCTAGCCAAATTAAAATATTTGGTAAATCTATACCTAAATAAATTTATTTACAATATATAATTTCATTTCTAAGTAATTAATGCTACTGTTACCTTCTTGATTTTTTATAGTTGAAAATTTTATTGTGAACTATCGTTTCAAACTTTATGAATGACATTGTAACTGAGTCATGGATATTCATCTTTTAAAAAACTGAAGTATATTTGGGAGTTGCTTATAATTGATTTAAAATATAGAGTAAATTATATAAACCTTCCTTGAAGTTTATGACAATTTCAGACGCATTCCCTCTTTCCAAAAATTACAGAAACCTCCCATGAGATTTATGTTTCATAACAAATTTCTTCATATCTCGCCCCTCGAATAAATACCTCTCGAAGATCACCAAATGAGCAGTGACGCGGAGGACACCTCGACCCCCTCCCCGACCCCAATCCATTGTCATTCCTACAAAAAATTAATATATCAACATAAATAGTAAATACATGTTTTACAATATTGAATAAAACTAATTGAGAATTCATCAAATATTTCATGATAATTGAAACATTTTTTGGTATTTTTTCATTTTTTGTTTACTCTTATATATATGCTAGTTTTTCGCCTGTGCAATGCACGGGCTGTGTTATTTTGAACATAATGTTAGCGTCTTGAATGTATCGGATTGACGGGAAAGTATATTACAAAATTTCCACACACTTGTATAAAAAAAATAATATTTCATAATGGTCAATCAAAAATTGAATAAATATTTCATGATAATTGAAACATTTTTTGGTATTTTTTCATTTTTTGTTTACTCTTATATATATGCTAGTTTTTCGCCTGTGCAATGCACGGGCTGTGTTATTTTGAACATAATGTTAGCGTCTTGAATGTATGGGATTGACGGGAAAGTATATTACAAAATTTCCACACACTTGTATAAAAAAAATAATATTTCATAATGGTCAATCAAAAATTGAAAAAAAGAGGGAGAAGTAAAACATTGTATGGAAAACGCATCAGGCAAAAGTTCAAATTTACAAGAGAAAAACAATTTCTATTACAACTTGGAATACAACAATATATTTCAAAATATAATTTTCTCATGTTTCTTTTTTACTGAACTGGCATAGAAATGAAGCAAAAGCTCCTTGCAGTCGAAATAAAAACATAGATGTAGACTTCAAAAATTAGACAGACAAAAAATCAATCACCGAGTAAAAACCTCGAAATCAATTGGGAACCTAGAACACCATTGGGATAGACATAGTTTGTTTAAAGGTTAAGAGATAATTTAAACCACCTAACTGGGAAAAAGAAGAATGCAAGGCACAATAGATATAAATACACACTTTGAAAACTATCAAAGCAAAATCTCATAAATTACGCTCCATGTTGAGTATCTCTAATCGCTCATGTTTTCCTGCCTTTGGCCAAGGTAAACTTAAAAATCTAGCATAAATAAATAGGGGCAAAATCTAAAATACCATCCATTTGGCTATAAATCATATATCCCTCTGAGTAACATATTTCAAAGGGAACAATATTCCAATAGAAAAAGCTATGACTTGAGACTACTTAGCTACCATAGACATGCTCCTAAAATAATTAACCAGACCCAATCCATCCTACCCAAAACATTAACGATTGTCTGCCAATTTATCATATGATCCTTGCAATCTCCCCCACACATTTTTCTAAAAAGAACTACCATATCTGACCAACTTTCTTTGGCCTTCCAATTGGAATTTTGTGTAAAGATTAGTAATACAAAGGCCTTTGAGTAGAAGAAACTTATTATTTACCAAAATGGCTGCACCAAAAGCTCCATGCCCTATCTGCTCCATGGCCTCCATAATAAAAGTAATGGCTCCAATCTCCATTACTGTCCGTTTGCATATCATAGCAATTGGATTGTTCAGTGTATGGTTCTTTAGGAGCCTCAAAATTTTTGGAACTGTCAACTTGGATATTCTTGAAATAGCCTGACTTGCCAAAACCCTCTTTTGGGAATCGATCGCTGCCCATTTGAGTCGAAGTGCACTGCTTGTCGAGTTATGAATTTATGACCTCACCACCCCCATCTATCATGGAAGCACTGTCTACTAAGTAGGAGAATAAGAAAGATGGCCAATAACCCAATACATAGCCACTGGAAACTACATCCACCAATTTCCCTCTTTTGGGTCTTAGGATAAATTAAAAAGTTATAAAAGGATAATTATAATTCATTCTCTGTTTCATCATAAAACACATGACAAGAAGGAGAGCGGGGTAAATTTGGTATTTATCTTCCACACAAGAATGCTGATGTCATATTGGGAATTTCGATAGGATGAGACGGGAGAGATTCTTGTACCCATTGCTATTTGACTACTGACTTGTATAAACCTGAGCAGAGTAGATTATAGCAACCGATGGCTCGATATGCATCACTCTATAATTACAAACTGATATTAAGGTTTTGCCTGGAGATTTATTAGCATATAAAGAAAACAAACAACAAAAGAATAAGCTTACAGTCCAGTATGTGAATAATCCTATGTTGTTATCACCGTAGAGATCAGTGCTAACCTGAAGCAATGTGCATTCTAATCAGTAAGAGGAATGCAACAAATTATGGTCGAACCAATAATTTAGAAAAAAAAAAAAAAAAATACCTGCCAACCAGCTTCAATGCTATTGAGATCCTCACCAAATGAACCTCTATTTTTCGAGAGCAGTAAATAGTTCCTTATATATACTAAAGTAAGGGAAAGAATAATTAAATTTGTTAAAAAAAAACAGATCAACGGTTAACTAAAGAAACAAAATTGGCTTAAAGTACTTACTCAACAAAGAATACACTGATGCAGCTATGAATTCCACCAGAGTTTAAATACAATTAAACACTATTGAAACAAACACCCAAAAACAGATACAAAGGTTAGGTGAAATGTACATAAAATTAAATGCTTAAACTATGAAAAATCTATAAAAAGAACTAATTATTCCCCCACAAAAAGTAAATATGAAGCTGACATACCTACATGTCAATACATTGCAATTCTTGGAAGCTTTAAAAAATACGTGAAGGAAATTAAAATTAAAAAATACGTTTGGGGGAAAAATCAAAAACACAAGAATATGAAAACATATTGTAGATCATAGAACTTCAATTCTTGTTGAACCTTTATAGTATTTTCACAGAGATCTGTTAAAAAATTCAACAACAAAAAAAAAATATATTAAACAACACATCTATAGACGCCGAAAAACATATGTACAAGACGAAGAATTTAAGCCAAAAATACCAAAAGTAACATCTAAAGAACTGACTTCAGTATTTTGGGTCATTGTGTTAGAAAAACGAAAGGAAAGTGGGTAAGAAAAAACACATTGACCAAAGAATAACATATTCTTCACGACAACTACAAAAGTAAAAAATCAAAGATACAAGAAAGTAAAGAACAAAGGAACAAAAACACACCAAAATAACATCAAACAAACTTTAGTTATCTTAGTTTCGATCTCTTAAAAGAACAAAAACAGGAGCAAAAATCGCAGATTAAAGAAAAAATCCCATATTTAACACAACGGCTACATAAATCGAAAAACATATACACAACATCCTGAACCCCAACCACCCCTTATATAGTTTTACGTATTTTGGGTTCAACCTTGTAGAAGATCAAACCCAAAAAAAGAAATTAAAATTAAGCATAGATTGAACAATAGAACTCAATAAAACAAAAGCAATATATACAATATAAGAAGAAGTCGATGCAATAACGATCGTATGTATATATAGATATACATACATATACATACATATATATACATATATGTGCATGTATATCTATATACATATATACACATATACGTATCTACAAGATTAATTATAATTAAGCTAATTGACACTGATTTTGTAGTGAAATTTGGTCGAAGGAGTCAAATGAGATGTTTTTAATGGTTTATTGGCACGAAATGGGTAAATTAATATAGTCAAGTAATGTCTTCATATAATCTATCAAAAATAGCAAAAGTATCATCAAAAAACATTCAAGCTCTAAATGTAGACAAATAAATTAAGATCTTATTCTACTCTTTCCTTAAGAAATAAAAGTCACTATGTATCCCTCTCAAGCTAAACAAGTTCAATTCCAAAAGGCTCATTCCCTTCATTCGTATTTGCTATACCTACTGAATTTTGAAGTTCTTCATAAGGTACCCAAATTTCAATTTACTCCTGTATTATTTGTCTAATTATGTGATGACCATAATTATGTAAGTGTATGTCTACATGAATATGGGTTGGTGTAGATTGGTTACTAAAATTTCTGTTACAAGTTCTGAAAATTTTCTCCACAGCCCAATGTTATAATTAACCATCTTTAATTTCTCAAACCCAAGTTTTACAAATATATTTTGTTATGAATTGAGCACAAGATAATGAAAATAATGAAATAAATAAAAATAAATAAGAATACCAAAATTTATGTGGAAACCCATGATGGGAAGAAACCACATGCAGAGAAGGAAAAACTTATTATAATCAATAATAGTTGTCAGTTAAGATCTAAAACTCTCAAAATATTGTATGAATGTTATGAAAATAATACAAATTGTGACTTATATACATATACCCTAAAAATCAAGTTGTAGGTGGATAGAAATCCAAAAATTGCATCAAAAGGCAGGCGACAGCTCCATCACCGAGTGCCAAGCGAGGAAAGGTCTCTAGAGAAAATATGCAGAAGTCGCTCAAGCAGCTAGCTATCGAAAATGTGGAGATTTTTCTCTCCAATTCACAATTTTGATCTTTTCAAGACCACTTCAACCAAAATTTCAATGTCCACTAGAATTTGGGTCGAAATACAACAAATCTCCACCTTGAACCAAACTCCAATACGAGAAATTCCAAAACACACTTCCATAGTAAACACCACTCATTCTTTTCCAAACAAGCCCCAATGAACTAAATCAATGACAAGCACCAACTAAGTTTAAGTAATGTTCAAATTAAGCAATTGGAAGTGGTTTTGTCATCATATCAGTTGAATTATCCTTGGTATCAACCTTGCTCATTACCATGTCACCATGAACAATCACATTATGCATAACATGACCTCACATCAATGTGTTTAGTTCTCTCATGGAACATCTAATCCTTAGTAACAAAAATAGCACTCTAACTATCATAATATACACAGTCAATTCCCTCAACCACATAGTCTCCTTACATCCCTCTATAATGGCCATATAGTTTACCTTTGCTGTAGACAAAGCTACTGTATTTTGCAAAATAACTTTTCAACTGATAGCATAGACTCCAAGGATAAGCACATACCCTGTAAGTGATCCGCTCTTATCAATATCCTCTGCATGATCTGAATCTACATACCCAATTACTCCATCTGTATTTCTACCAAAATGTAAGCTAGTATTAGTAGAGCGCTTCAAGTATCTGAATATTCACTGCACTTCTTTCCAATGTTCCTTGCTAGGATTTGTGATGTAGCTCCTAACTTCATGTGTCAAATCTGGTCTTATACAAACCATAGTATACATAAGCCAACCAACTGTACTAGAATAAGAAACCCGATACATATAATCAATATCTTTATCCGATTAAGAACACAATCCAGAGGATAATTTGAAGTGTGCAGCTAAGAGAGTACCGACAGCCTTAGCATTCAACATATTAAACATTTGAAACACCTTATCAATGTACACCTTCTGACTCAAATACAATTTATCAGCCATTCCATCACTTGTAATTTTTATATTAAGAATTTTCTTCAATGTTGCTAAATCTTTCATCTCAAACTCCTTGCTAAGTTGAGATGTCACCTTTCTGACCTTTGTTTTATCCTTGGCTGGTGTCAGCATATATCAACAAATAATAACAAATATGTGATCAATCCACCACCTTCCTTTCTGAAGTATGCAAATTACTTCTATTGAAATTGTGAATAGTCATGAATGAGTCGAACATTTTATACCACTACCTCGGTGACTACTTCAGCCCGTACAAGAACTTCAACAAGTTCACATAGTCTTCTCGATCCATAATTTTGATCTTTTCAATGCCAATTCAACCAAAACTTCAATACTCACTAGGATTCGAGTCAAACTACAACATATTTCTATAACTTAGATGACTTTGTAATTGGCTCTTTTACCTATGCTGGATTAGTAGTTATTAATCAACCCCTTAGAATAATTATTTCGTAGTTGTTAATTTATAACTTCCAGTTGTGTCTTAAATCCAATTCAACTATGTCAATGTAGTGTTGTTAATTAGTGAGTTAAATGGAGTAGAATTGAATTGTTATAAATAATTAATTTTTATAAATTATATGCTAATAAAATGTAATCATTAGTTTGTAAAATTGGCTTCTTGACTTTCTTACACAAAATTGTTTCTTGTTCAACCTTAATTATATGGAAATTGAGATTGATATGGCACTGTGTTAATTTTAACTCCTACAACCAATTAGTATTGTTTATCGCATCAATAGAAGTTTTACATTAATAATTTATGTGTCCCCAAAAGGTGAAAATGGAAACCAAGTTGTTTAATGTAGTTGATTCGTATTATTTCTATTGTACACCTTTGAATTTATATATGTTGACGTTCTTCCGAGTTATTCAAAATAGATATTAATAAATAAAAAATTGAGCTTGTTAAAATTCCTAAATAAGTTGTAATAACTTAGGATTTCGGCACGCTGAGCTCGTTGGAGGTTAAGGACATCTCCACTTGTTATCTAATTAAAAGTGAATTATAAATCATTCTAAGTAGACCTCCCTCTTGTTTTCACGCATATGTCATATGGTTAATGTATAAATGTGTTATCTTATTTGCCATCATGTAACATAATTTTTGATTATTAAGTTTTACATCATTAATATTTCTCATTTCATATTTATACATGTCAATAAATCCAAAAGCATACATGAAATTTCAAGAAATAAAAGTTTCCAAATGTTTATAAGTCAAAGAATGCTTTAAATATATGTATCCAGAATATTTCATCACTACAACAAAAGTGGGGTTTTACGACATTTATTTACAGCGTGCATAAACTGCACACCATGAAAAGTCTCCTTTTACGGCGTTCAAAGAATGTGTGCCGTAATTATTTAATAGCTTAAAGTATTTACATCATACATTTAGGGCGTAAATAGAAAATAATTATGGCATTTTACGGCATATAAATAGGGCACGCCGTAAATAATCAATAATTACAACATTTTACGGTGTGCATTGAGTGCGCCATTATAGACAAAGCCTAAAACGTAGCCCACGCATGCCGTAATAATCGAGCCGAAAGCAAAATAAAATTAAAACCCCATAGCCCAATCCTTATGAAATTAGGAAAGACAACACGCATAGAACGTTCCCTGTAAATCTCTCATATAACCCTCGTCAGTCATCCCTGTCAATCTCTCCTCCTCTCTCTCAATATCAAGCAATGCAGACACCGGCCCTCAATTGGTTGAAAGATGCGTAATTTCTGGGAACTTTATTCTCCATTATTTCAAGGTAAGCTTAATTGTTTGCTATTTTTAGAAAATTTTATTGGAGTTGCATATTTCCCCATGCCCTAGTGGTCTGATTTTCCTTTTTATAATTGTAATCTTTTACTGATTTGTCACCTTCTGATTGCTGAGTTTGATTATTACACCTGCTGAATCTGCACTGTAAGAGGGACGATAAGTTTATAGGGTTCTTGAGGTGAAGGATGGACAATTAATTCTTTGCTATTCACTATCTACTGGAAATTATTAAAATTTCATTCTTTGTTTGCCCTTTAACTTTCTCACTGCCACGAGACATCATCTACAGTTTAACATGTTGCTATTTGCGAGAATTTTTTAGGTTTTTTGCAATGATTGATATTTGAGATGGAATTATATTGTCATATGATGTTTTGCTCTAACATGTGCTCTGTTCTTGGTCTAATTTAGAACTTACTAAACATGCGCTCAAAGTACTGCACTGAAAACCAGTAGCAGACAGAAACGCACATTCAATTTCAAAAGGGCATACTTCTTGTTTCCAATGAAAAGCCTACTTTGTGTCAAACCTAATCTTCTTTGAGGTGGGCTGGTTTCCCATGATTTCTGGACAATCATAATCAATACCAGAGGCCCCAATCCTCTTTTGCCTTCTTTGGTCCGTTTTCATAATTATTTCTACCAACTTCTTGTGCTCTTCCAAAGTCCTTTCCTTATCATGATGACTCCTTTCAATTTTAACCCAATCCAAGGGTTTGTACCAGTGCGTCATACCTTTCCATAGTTTTGGATGAACACACTCAGTAGGAACAAGCAGAACTTGCACCGGATGCTCAAACAATTAGTAGTTATGCATGAATTCTGAAACAACTTTTCCAACCTCAGGAGATTCAAATTCAACGAATCCAAAATGCCTCGATTTCCCTATCTTCCTATTCCTTCCTATTCTGAGTCTCTTGATTGTACCAAATTGCTTAAAGAAACCTTCCATTTCATTCTCATAAAATCCATGTGGAATTCTTCCAATTTATAAGAAAGTTGCTTTATTCTCCCTTTCTTCAATCTTTGGAACTTGTTTTGATTTAAGTTGCTCCTTGTCAAAGTTAGGAGGAGAACAATTCTTTTTGAACAGCGTCAATTAGTAGTTAATAAATTTTCATTTCTTGAAGTTATAAAGTATTCTGGAGTTTGGTAGAGTGTCAATAACGATGAGCATTTTTTTCCTGTGCCTTTTGAAAATTGGTGGTGAATCAAATTCTTGGCATGTCACAAAGAGTTGGAGTTATGTATTAGATTATAAATAATATGGATGCCATCTAGTGCTCCAAAATTTATTTAGAAATTTCCTGGTTGTGCCTTTTTTTTTCGAAATCATCTACTAATCCAAAAAAGGGAAAGGTATAGAAATAATTGGAGTTTTAATAATATAGTTGATTGTCATTGCTACTTTGATGTCATTTTCCATTTCTTATTGTCCACGATGTATTTGGGCAATTATGGCTTCTCAGTGACAGAATAGAACCTAAGTTAGGCAAGTAAATTTGATATATTTTTCTCTACTTGTGAGTTTGTACGATAGATTCAATTAAAATGATTTTCATTAATATGTTTGTCGTTGATTTTTCAGTGTTTAATATGCCATGAAAATCTAGGACCAATCTTGAACATAGAGAGAAAACTTTAAAATTTAAATTTGGTAAAAATGGAGAAAATGTAATTTTATACAACTGTTGATCTCAAATCAAATCAATGCCAACTCAAGATACTCTAGCTAGTATCTTCTTCATCCTTCATGAGTTTGTATTCTATTTTTGGTATTGGACTAGGGAAATCTTTGAAATTCCCTTTGTCCCTCCTTGAATATTTCTCTTGTCCATATTCTTAACCAAGTTCAAAATTAATTTCTCAACAGATTGCAGTAGCGTTGAAGGAGGTTCTAATTGTTCCAATTTCACCTATTTTAATTCAGGTTAGAATTATGAAACTTTATTGTCAAAATGACTTAACTAATTGGAACTTGATTTCTATGATGTCCTAATATAATCATTTTTCACTTCATTTTTAATATGTTTAAACAGATTATAAATTAATAGTGTTGGTATATCTTATCATGGATAAAGATTGGGTACACTTATCGAGGTGATCTTATCATCTTAAATTTAGAATATTTTGAAATATGCCCCATAAATGCTTTTTAGATTATTTATTTAGCATATTTTATAGAGTTTCAGAAGCATATCAACATGGTGCGACAAAATTTGCAAATTTGTTCAAACCGATGCTGGGAATCCAGTAAAGGTCATATGCCCTAGCAAATGTTTCAAAAACCTATTTCACCAACATTTTGATATAATGTATGGACATTTGATCGTTAATGGCATGGATCTTACGTATACTACCTGGGTGTTTCATAGGGAAAAATCGAATGCAGCATTATCGCCTCCTCAAGGTGTAGAAAATTTAGAGACGTATATGATGTATAGAAATGTATTTTTTTCAGGATCGCAATAACGTGGAATCCGAAAATGAAGATAGAGAGAAAGAATTTTCAAATATATATGACAACATCGAAATTTCTTTATATCCTGGTTGCACGAAGTATACAAGGATATCTACAATTGTTGTTTTGTATAAGCTTAAAGCTACTCATGGTATATCTGACAATAGTTTTAATGAACTTCTTGATATTATCCGAGATATGCTACCACATGGGAACACACTTCCTGATTCTTGCAATTCAACAAAAAGGTTATTGAACACCTTTGATTTAGGCTATGAGAAGATACATGCATGTGTAAATGATTGTTGCTTGTTTAGAAAGGATCTAGTGAATTTGGATACATGTCCAAAATGTGGATCTTAGCGGTGGAAAGTTAATGAACGGGTTAAGAAGATTCAAAAAGGGATACCTACAAAGGTTTTGCGATATTTTCCAATTATACCACGATTTAGAAGAATGTTTAGGTCACTCGATAAGGCAGAACAACTAATATGGCACTCAAATCACAAAAGTCAAGATGGAAAAATGCGTCATTCAATTGATTCATTAGCTTGGGAGAGAATTGATTAAAAAAATGGCCTTGTTTTGCATCAGAACCACGAAATCTTAGGTTTGGCCTTTCTTCTAATGGATTTAATCCCTTTGGTGACCTAAGTTCTAGGTATAATTGTTGGCTAGTGATACTAGTTATATATAATCTCCCTCCTTGGATATGCATGTCTAAGGAAAATTTGTTGTTGACTTTATTAATCCCAGATCCAAAGCAACCTCGAAATGATATAGATGTGTACCTAGAACCACTAATAGAAAACTTAAAGGAGATGTGGAATATTGGTGTTGAAGTATGTGATGGATTTACTAAGTCTACCTTCAATTTGAAAGATGTGCTAATGTGGACAATTAATGATTTTCCAACTTATGGGAACTTATTAGGATATCCTACAAAAGGCGAAGCAGCATGTCCAGTTTGTGGGTTATCCACATGTGCAAAATGGTTGACATGTAGTCGAAAGTTTTCATACATGGGTCATAGAAGATTTCTTGCATATAATCATCTATATCGGTCAAAAGAAGCTTGGTTTGATGGAAACAAGGAGCATAGGCCTAGTCCTAAAATATTAACCAGTCGAGAAGTGATGTGTTTAGTAAAAAAATGTTAGCAATAATTGGAGAAAAATAGGAAAAAAAAAAAGAAAGATGAAAAAAATCAGATTCTAATTAGCCATGGAGAAGAAAGTCAATATTATTTGAGCTACCATATTGGGAGATTAGTCATTTTAAACTATTTGAATTAGTTATTTCTCTGCTTAAACTTTTTTTTTCTAAATTTATATTGTTATTTTTAGACATTACTTTTGCGTCATAATTTGGATGTAATGCACATTGAGAAGAACGTTTGCGAAAGCATTCTTGGCACTATTTTGCATATGAAGGGAAAATTGAAAGATGGACTAAATTCTCATAAGGATTTACTCAATATGGGTATTAGAAAGGATCTTCATCCAGAATTGAAAGGAAATACATATTACCTACCGGCAGCATCATATATGCTATCCAAAAAAGAGAAAGAGTTATTTTGTAAGAGGTTAAAGATTACCTCATGGTTATAGCTCTAACATTTCAAAATGTGTATCATTAGCGGATAATAGGATTTTAAATCTGAAGTCTCATGATTGCCATGTGCTCATACAACAGTTGTTACCAGTTGCATTAAGAGGATTTTTATCTAATGGATGAAGAAATTCAATTTTTTTGACTATGTGCATTTTTCAACGAAATATTTCAAAGAGTTGTCGATAAAAATAAATTAGAAAAGCTTGAGGAGGATGTTGCTGTAACTTTGTGTATGCTAGAAAGGTATTTTCCTCCATCTTTTTTTGACATAATGATTCATTTAACCATCCACCTTGGGCATGAGGTTCTTATTGGTGGACCTGTACAATATCGTTGGATATATCCATTTAAAAAGTAAATTACTATTATATATATTTTTTAACTATTCAAACTTTCTTCTTCTAATTGCTTAGATATCTCATGGCTATTATATGGTGAATTAGGTTTATGAAAACACTTAAAGGATATGTTAGAAATCATTCAAGACCTAAGGGATGCATCGTAGAGTGTTATTTAGCAATGAATGTATGCATTTTTGTAGTAGTTACATGAAACAAGCTACTGAAGTAGGTAGTCGACATACTCAGAATGAGAGTTTCGAGAATGAAACAATTATTGCTGGACATACGATCTCTAAAGGAAATTCAAAGACTTTGAGTCAAGAAATGTTAGAGGTCGCTCATCGTTATGAGCTATTTAACAGTGTTGCAATTGAGCCGTATGTAACGTAATGAAGTAGGGATGTAAACGAATCGGGCCGAGCTGGCTCGTGAGCCTAAAGTTTTGGCTCGGGCTTGGCCCAGCTAAAATGGCCGAGCTTTTTTGCAGGCTCGTTTTGCTCAGCCAAAAAAAATAGGCTCGCTCGGGCTTTTTTGGGATCGAGTCGGGCAGGTCGCTTTCTCCCCTCCTTTTTTTTTTTCCCTAAAGCTATTGCCTTCAAGGCAGCGAGCTACTGCCTTTAAAATGCAGCAGTTTTGCTGTCAAGACAGCCTCAAAATTAATTTTTTTTATTATAAACTTTCGAGCTCACGGGCCGGCTTGGGCAAAGCCCATGTCCCCAAAATGGGGCTCGGCCCGAGCCTAGATTCGGGTCTACCGAGCCCCGAGCAGAGTCACGGACGGCCCGAGCCGGGGAGCCCAATTGCCATTCCTATAATGAAGTTAGTTAATTTATCAGTTTAATATTAATTAATGTTCTCTCATAAACTTATCTTACTATTTGTTTATTTATTTTCATTTAGAATGCACAAAGAGGAGATTAAGAATTCAGATAGTCGTATTGCAAAGAATGAAACTTTATTACAAATGAGACATATGGAGACTTTCACTTCTTGGTTTGCAAAGAAAGGCAAACAAGACAATTGTAACATGTCTAATGCATTGAAATGGCTTGCACGTCGGCCTAGATGTGATGTGATGTGCTGTCACATTCTGGTTATGTTATCAATCAACATCAATTTCATACAACTGATGTTAGTAGAAGTACACAGAATAGTGGTGTTTCTATTGAAGCACAAACTATTTATCGGTCTAGTGTGAAGGATACAAGCCACGTAGTTAGTAAAATATCTTATTACGGAGTTATGAGAGACATAATTTTACTAGATTATCACAGTTTTAAAGTTCCCATGTTTCATTGTGATTGGGTAAATATCGATAGTGGAGTCAAGATTGAAGAAGGATTTACATCGGTAAACCTTCATAGAGGGCAATATCAATTTGAAAGAGATCCATTTATTTTAGTATCACAAGCAAAACAAGTTTTTTAATCTAGAGAAAGTGATACATCTAGTTAGTATATTGTATTAAAGGCAACTCCTAGAGGATTTCATGAGTTAGAAAATTTTGATGAGGAGGCTTATACTCCATCCACATTAGATGCATTAAGTGTTGATATGGCCGTTGAAGATGACGATTATGTGAGGCATGATTGTGAGGGCATTGATATTGAATATGGTAATTGTATATCTTTAAGTCTCTCTTGCTTTATTTTAATTTTATATTGATATAATATTATATTGAGGTTAATGTCTCTAATTCCATTATTTCTTGCTTTATTTTTGTAGATGCAAATGATGAAAGCTGAGTTTTGTGGATGTTGATGTTCACACGATTGGATATAAGATGACATATCCTGGTGAAGTAAGTTCCTGGATCGTATGTATCTTAGTTTTTATGTTAAATTTAATTAAAATATTACTTGTTTTTTTCTTTTTTCTTTTTTTGTTCAATACAGTCATTTAATCAAGGTTATAAGAAATCAAAAAGAGCTAAAAAAACTTCAATTGTTGCTGCCACAAGAGAAGTGAATGAAGGGATAAGCCTATCAAAATGAGGTTCTAATTCTGTTCTAGATGTACGTGAAAATGATGTGGTAGAAGGGTTGCCTAATAGTGCTAGTACTACTAAAAACAAAAAGAAGGAAAGAGGTTGAGCAAAATTGAATTATCTCAACAAGGGAAAATGTACGAAGTTACTAGTAGAGTTTAATGAAAGAGGACAGCCAATTTGTAAGTGTTCAAATAGTTGTCATCATTTATTGGGATCACAACTAGAGAACTTATACCAATTACATGGAAAAATTGGAAAGATGTCAGTAAAGAATTTCTTGATGACATATGGGAGCATGTGGAAGTAATATAAATGTCACTTCTCTTATATAATTTAAATGAAATTACTATTAATATTGTGTACTTTGATGCAGCAAAAGTTTGATATCGATGCTTGTCATAGAAAATACATCATGCAAAAAATGGGGAATAATTGGTGAGATTATCGATGTAATTTTCTTAAAGCAATCAATGACAAAGGAAAAACAATTGCATGACACAAGTTGCTGCTCTCCTCAAGCTCGATAATGTTGAATCAATGGAAGAATGGCAAGCATTTGTCAAAGAACGCAATTCTCAACCATATAAGGTAAGCTTTCATTGCTTTTGTATATTGATTGTGCTTTGCAACATACTGCTTACTGCATCTATTATATATTCGTCACAACATTTATGCCTATTACAGCGTGCATAAATGATTTTGTAGGAAAAGAATGAAAGATTCAAAAAGATGAGTGCAAGTCAAACCATGATGCATGCAACAAGTAGAAAGGATTTGGCTCACTTGGAAGCTGAAATGGTAAAAAATTGTTAAATTAAAGTTAAATTTGTTTGAAAAATTATAAATGTTATACAAACTACTACACATGAAATGTGTAAAATGTAGCATGCTGAAAGTGATGATCCGATTCGATAACGAAAGATGATGTTTATATTCGAGGACATACGCGATAAAATCAATTGGGGAAACATTGTTAACAATATTGCTTTTAGTAGTTTTTTATCATTCAAAGCTTAAATTAGGTAATTTTAGCTCATTAATGTATGTCCTCGTATCAGAATAAAAAAAAGCACATTCAAAGACGATTTTCTCTCCAAGCAAACACTCACTTGAAGGTGATGGTGTTGCAAAAGTACTTGGTCCAGAACGTCCAGGACAGGTGAGAGGTCATGGTTTCGGTGCGATTCCTTCAAAGTTGAATGCTTTGGTGTAAAATCATAACTTGTAAACTCAAGTTCAAGAGTTGAGGGATGAAATTAAAGAATTAAAAGCTCTATTTCAAGTGAAGAGTAAAAATACTAAACAAGAAGATAATGTAAGTGGAAATCTAGAATCAATGAATGTTATTTTAAATTACATATACTTTTTATATTCAAAATAATAAATTGTACGACTGGATATTAATTTTACAGTCTAGAGACAGAAGCTTGAATGGTTTAGATAACCTTCAAAAGAAGAAGTGCAAATTGTTATCTTAGTTTGGGAAAGTTGATATTGTTGCAAAAGGTGAAATTGCATCAACAAATCCAAATGATCTAGTGCATCATGTACCCCTTGGTAATGAATGTTGGAGAGCTTGGGTTAATGAAGTTATTGATAATGTCAGCTTATATCATCCCACGCGTAAGCTTTTTCTTCTTGAAGATGCATTAGAAAGTACAGTTGCATGGCCAAGTAGGTATATCGAAGTGGATTCGTTGTAATCACAATGAATGTATGCTTAACTTCTTTTCTATTTTAATTCCATTTACCTTTATGTTCGGTCTCAATTGAAGACTGAGTTGTTTAATATATTTCTTGATATACTTCTGATTTGGATGCTTATTAATTATATCCTTATTATTTCCATGGTGTGCAGGGGATCCATATTTTGTGGGGTAGCTAAATTGTCGGTCAAAGAAGTGAACTTTGATATGTTTAATAATTTTTTGTTATATGATGGAACCTCAATATCCACGAGCTTATTAGTTGAATGACGATTGGAGCATACAATAGTAGTCGAAAATTTTTGAGAGTTATTTAGATGAATTTTACATTGGCATATTGTATTGAACCGTACTCAATATTTCTTTTTATCGAAACAATGGAAAACTTGATTATATATAGAGTAATTTTATTTTGTTAATATTATAGGTTTGCTGTATTAAAATAAATAAATGATTTAAAAAAAAAATTGAGTGCTCGTTTACGGCGTGTATAAGCATTGCTTTATACGACATGTTGTTGTACGCCGTAAAGTATTATTTACGGCATATAATGCACGCCGTAAAAAATAATCTGTTTGTAGTGCATTACGAGGTGTATGTCTATGTCTATACTATGAAAGTTGTGAATGGGAAATGTGATGAGGGGGACTGGTGAACCTGACCAATGTTCAATGTATAATAATATATAAATGTTAACCACTTTGTGGTGCTACTGGCAAGATTTGATTAGGTTTCAAATAATAATTGCTTGCTACATTCTAACTGGCTAAGCGATACGCTAAGTGAACTCACGATTTTAATGTTAAATTTTTAAAGAAATGAAAGAAAGATGATACATATTGAGAAATATTTTTATTTTATAGTAATTCATATGTATATCATAAGCATGCATCATATGTATGAGGTTTGCGTACTGGACGTTAGCTCATCCAACGTTATCCCTCCTCATTTTCATATGACGGAAGCAAGATGGTTCAAGACAACTAGTAGTGCGATGGATTCGGTACTAATGCATTTAAACATCAACTTCGTTTAGAAATTAAAGTTAACATTTAATTTATTTATTTTTTCATTTAAGCGCAGAAGTTTTTTATAAGTTACATAATGATAAATGAAGTTCATTGAATTAAAGAAAAATTTAATCGCTTCCGCATTTACGGTTTTAAGAAATGAAATGATAATACTTACCAAATGCACCTAACAGCCCCAAGCAACTTTCAGTCATGCCAGTTTCCTTCTGCTGCCAAAAGTCTTTATAGAAAGGACTTTTGATGCGTTTTTTTGACCTAAAACTCACATCTGTAAGTATGGAAAAAGGAGCTAACATTCAAGGGATTTTTCTCTAACCTCTCAAATCAAATCATATCATAAAAGATTTCAAGAATAGTTAGAATGGGGTGGGAGATTGTCCCGCCCCCACTTTATTGTCACGCCTACTCTCTAACAATTCCGTTAGGGCGAAGTTAAAACTTTTTATTATGTGTAACATTTTTTTTTTGTTTCAGCCACACTAAGATTTACCCCACGATGCCCCCTAAATCCGCCCTTACTCCAATTCATAATCCACCCCTATCGCAATTGTAAGTGCCGCCAACCCGCTTCACAACACCATTGCCTCAATTCAACTCATTTGATTATTTTTCATTTTGGCCAAAAGTTATCATTTTTATTTTTCTAGAATTTATTAGTATATATGAGTTTCTTTGTCCCATGGAATGGAACTGTGAATGGTAAATCGTCTATGAACAAATATATGACCTTTAAAACTTAAAATTACTTTGATAAATCAATTAAAACTTAATTTAATTATTTACAGCAATTGATGAAAAAAAAAATATTTTGATGGATCATATTTTATTTACTAATTTTTGCTTCGAAGCATGTTTGTCAGAACTTAAAAATTACTTTACTAAAAAATAAATCTTACTAATAAAAAAAATTATAATTATTTCAGATTATAAAAAGTAAGTT